AACCTTTTTTGTCTAAATTTATGTAGAAAATAGAATCAAATATATTTATAACTTATGTATACTATGAATTTTTTTCATAACGAATCTAATTATATACTACTTCTGTCCCAAAAAAATATAATTCTAGCACAGTGTCACGTTTTAGCACCTTAAGTTTGACCAATTATAGATTAAAAAGTATCCATGTTTATAATACCAAATAAATACCACCAGATTAATTATGAAATGTATTTTTATAATAAATTAATTTAAAAGCATAACTGTGAATATTATTCATTAAAAACTTGATGAAACGTGAACCACTTTTCGTGGCACGTAACACATAGTTGCATTCATTTCCGGACGGAGGTAGTATATAGTAATATTATATAGAATTTGACTGAACAGTATTTTTTGTATTTGCATTCTTTCTAGAAAGCGAGCAGTATATAATCACGTCATTTCAACTATCAACCTTTTTTTTCGAAGCTAGTATATAGTAACCTTTTGTCTCTCACTAGTATTTTGTCCCTGGAATCGAGTTGACAGTGGCCCTGCCAGATGGTAAATATGCTTTTCTTTTCACTTTCTAAGAATAATGCTACGACAGGTCTACAGTATCCACACCGTAGCCATCAGATCACTCATAGCTAGCCATATATGCCTGCCGTGTCTGCCGAGCTATGAAACAGAAAGTCCCTTTTGTGCTAGAATAAATATGCAGGAGGCGACACGATGATCAATCACACATGCATGGCACTGCTGTCGGAATAACTGTGGGCAAAGTAGCAGCAGAGAAACTGCAGGTAGCTAGGGCATTGCAAAGTTGGAGAAATGCATCTTCGATAGATCGTGCAAAATAGAGGTCACATGTACACCCAAACATGCATGCTCAAAAGGATTATTTCAGACGAAATGTTTAGAATGTTTTTTTTAAATGAATCAGATGTCGATTATATTAAAAAGAAGAAAGCTCAGACTAAGCACAACGATACAACAACTAGACGACCACATTTAGAATGCTTTTGAGCATGTACATCAGGTTTTGCTTGTTCGTGGATTGCTCACCTTAGAAAAAGTTTAGAGTCTCAAGAGCATTTGAGTTTACGAACTAGCCTGAAAATGATAGGTCTAGTGTTAGAATGCGCAGCGGAATCCGGCCTAGTTCGCTATACCCACGAGCTGGCACCCCTCGGGCCCCGGTCTACCGGAACCCACAACATACCCAGGCCTTGGGCGTAACTAAACCCAAAAGACTAGTCTAATAGATGAGCGCTACCCCGCCTTATATGTTATGCTCCTCTACCATCAATTACCGATGTGGGACTCAACCTAGCATCTAGCACTGAACTATTACACACTCCAATCTATCATCTGTCGTAGATCGAACCTCTTTGTGCTGAAACAGTGAAACTGCCGGTGTAACTGCAACAACTGCATTACGCATGAAATGAAATGCAGGCAGCGGACGTTCAATCAGCCCGGCGATCGTCGCGGCGCAGATTGTTGGTTGTTCCTCACTAGCTAGCTTTTTGGTAGCCCTCCATCTCTTGCAATTGCATGCATGCAACTGCCTTTCACTGTAGCTAGCATCTACTACTTGGTCGGTGCCTGCCGGTTCTCCATCTCCATGCATGATCGAGCAGCCGTTCGGTGTTGCTGGTGACGTGCCGCGTGCCCGGCCGACTGTACATGTTCCTGCTGATAAATTGCAGGTCATGTCAGCTTTATGTATACCTTTTGACTTATTTCGTCCGGTCCCCGGGCCCCATGAGTTGACATTTTACCATGGCAGATTGTTGCATTGATCGGTCCTTTTCTCTTTTCCCTTTTCCCTTTTGTGGATCTAAGGACGACGTAAGTACCATATGCAGGCAGTGACTAACATGAGCTAATGCTGTAACCAGTGAATCAGCAGGACTGTAACACAAGGCATGTGCTGCCTGCCTGCTGGTGTTGGCTAGGATAGCTGGATAGGTATTAGGAAAACTCCTTGTTACAGATATATATAAGCCTACTGGCAAGTAAAATTTGGAGGCGACATGACATGATCAATTATTGCATATACTATACCACACAAGGAGGATTCATGCAAAGCAGTGAACTTTTTTTATTTACCTTTGAGGTGAAGCCACAACGCAGAATGTAGATAGCAAGCAAGCAGCGAAAGGAAGAGGACCGTTTTGGAAGCAAAGACGATGCTATATATGTATGCATGTCCACAAGCAAGATGACCAAGAACGTTTATCCATGATGAAGAATGATGGATGCTATTGACCACAGTAAAAAAAAGTCAAGGAGCTGTCTTGCCGTGCATCCCATCTCCCACTGACCACTGTCCATGTCCTTTTTAGGGATCCAATTCTTCGTGTACACACCACTACCCCACAAACTGTAATAACTCTATATCTAAACTGACTTTTACTGTTGGATTTCAATCCAACGATGGGTAATCGCTATTGTTGCCGGGAGCCGGATCCAAGAACGGCTGCAGTGATGAACCAATCGATGCCATCCACCATCATCCATCGGCTTCGTTCACGTGCAATGACCATGTCCAATTAACCTTGCAGATACCATTGTACATGCACGCAGAAGAAATCTTAACTCATTCTCTACATGACACCCATACAAGCATCTCTTCCCCACACCACACAAGCAGCAACAAGCAAAAAGGTCAAGCTCAAATGGCTTGTCTGCTCCAACAAGTAGTGCAAATGAAAATGAATGAATGAATGTTACTTCGATCCAACTTTGTATGTGTGGCAAGGCCGGGTTTCCAGTTTCTATCCTTGTCCTGCTCATCTGCATGCCCATGTGGCTGCAGTGCATGCACAGCCTTATCTTCCTAGCTAAGCTTGCTACACCAAATCACCAATGCAGTGTGGCTGCACAGATCAATAGTGATGAGCACGGGATGTGTGTGTGCGTGTGTGTGTGTGTGTCTATATATATATATATATGTACACACACACACACGCCGTGCCTGTGTCTACAGTTGCACACAGCCACGTGTACGCCTACATTAATTGCACACTTAATTTTATGGAAAAAAAATTGTTGCATATTTAGTTCAAGTTGTAAACATATACACTCCTAGCTATATATGCCAAGGAAAAGATTCATGAAGAAGAGAAATTGATGAATATGTATTGCTATCACCATGCATGACTCCACGAGATATATATAAGCAGAGAGAAACAAAAAGTGAGATCTTATCGTTTTCACTTCGTTCGTCATCTATCACTCTCTATCAACAGTTCGTTGACATGCATGATTTTTTTTATTTTTAGAAAAGGGAATATATGCATGATCTGTCATGTGATCGATGCAATTAATTATATTTCGCCATTCCAAGTGTTTATTTAATTTACATGTGATGTGTACCGCAGCAAAATATAAAAATACGTAGCCGTTTTCAGGGACTGTAGCATGAGTGCTACATTAATTCTTGACCTTTTCCATCTAGTCTAGTATATAATATAGTATACCAAGAATATGGCCGCAACGATGAAAATGAACGGATACTACCCTCATCAAACATTGTTCTTCAGTCTTCGCATCTGCCCATGTGGGTGTCTTGCTGAAATCGGCCCATGGGCCGGCAAAACAGAAAGCTCATGGGTCCGTCTACATTGCACTCGTGGGAATAAAAAAGCGACGATGGGGTCGACAAATAAATAAATTTCTATTTATGTCACGAAAATTTATTCGGTGTGGTGGCACAGCACATGTTGGTGGAGTATGATAATGCAAGGTAAGATCATCACATTATTGTGAATATCCTATGCCATAGGGAATCACTTTATAAAAATGGAAAGACGTTATACGTGTGTTACAAAACATGCAAATTGTAAACAATCGTGAAACGGACTTTTCCTAGCGCCGCGACGGTAGCCGTACAGGAAGCGAGCGAGCGCACCAGTTCACCACCGCATCTCAGGCCTCTTTCGAACACATGGATTTTACCAAGAATTTTACTGGAACATGCACAGGCCGATTGGGCCAGCTTAAAGCTGTCATGATGGAACCAAGAGAATCTTAAGCCCAGAGGACTGCCGTAAACAAGTTTAGTCGACACGGGAGTCTTGGCCACGGGCAGAGGAGCGGCCCAGCCCATAGAGCCCACGTGACGGCCTTGGGCTGGCTGTGCCTATGCGTGTTGTCGTCTCGGATGATGCATGCAAATGCAATTGACATCACTCTCAACTAATGATGCATGCAATTGGCATCACGCAGTGCAAAGCGGTGGATTCCACGTTCCTGTTGCTGCTACGTTCACTTAACCTGCACCATCTTTCCATCTGAAACTCAACTAAAATATTTATAGAAACGGATTTCCACAAACCCGAGTCGTCAGTGATTGAACAGCTGTATTATAGAAACGCAGGAGCATTTCCGATGTAAACGATGTTTTTTTCATGAGCATGAGTGAATTAGAGCTGAATGGGCCTTTAGTTCAGAAGCCACTCTGAATCTCAACAACAACAAAAAACAAGATAAAAGCCCATATTTCAGCCCATTAGGGGCTCATCCCGATGGGCCAAAAGTTGGACATCAAGCATGAATAATCCTTTTATATTCCACAAGCGTGCAAAACTATGAACAATACCGCATTAGAGTCACAATCACATGACAAAGGAACAAACAGAAAATAGTCAAGTTTAGGATTAAAACATGGCAGGTTTATCTGTACGGCTAATTACATTGCATTACAACAATCTTACATCAAAAGGGCACGGAATGAAATAAATATAAAAAGGAAATAAAAGAAAAAGGTGCTACACAGGCAGAACATGTTTCTGCAATGTATTTGAGCATTACACATACAGCTCTCTTGTTGTCACACGGTCATCTCATTATAGAGACAGTGCAAAGGTGTCAGCTTCGATGACCATTTGGGGAAACCTTCCCCAGAACATTCAAAGACTTCATTCGCTGCAGCTCTTTCCCTACAAAATCACATATACCGCTCTCTTCTTGTCACACGGTCATCTCATTATAGAGACAGTGCAAAGGTGTCAGCTTCGATGACCATTTGGGGAAACCTTCCCCAGAACATTCAAAGACTTCATTCGCTGCAGCTCTTTCCCTACAAAATCACATATACCGTTTTTATAACGAAAACATGCACTAGGTTGTGCTAAAGTAAACTGTCAGTATATCGCCAAGATATCAAACCAAACTAGCAAAGTCATAACGGTTAATTGTTTATTTATTTATTTAGGTGACAGATGAAGTGTAAACATGGATGTCTATAAATACAAGTACCATTTGTGGTTGCAAGATACCACAAACAGTGAATCCCTCACGACACGAGATGCTCAAATGGCTTAGACAGGATACAAGGCATTATTCAATCTTGGATACATATGGGGTCAAAAGAATGCAACAATGCGACCCTTTGTGCTTACTCTGAATTTTCTCGAGGGACAGGCAAGGCAACAGCAAACGGTAAGTGGAGGGAGGCTAGGAGCATAGTGTAAAAGAACATACTTCAATGGATGAAGATCATGAAGTATATATATAGGATGGGGATGCATGAGGCACCACATACATGAGAAGGGTTAGTACAGGGGAAAGATATTGAGATGACAGAGCATACATATGCTGCTGCCTGACAGGACAGTACAAATGAAACAAACATAACCTTCAATATGGTAAGGAAGCAAGAATAACAGTAATATTATCACCTTCCTCCACTAAGAGATGTATAGCCCTTTTCTCCAGCTCAATTGCATGCATGTTTCGCCCAGCAGCCGAAAGGGACCTAAGCTCTGAAATTAATTGAGGGAATCAGTATTCTGCGAGGACGAAAAACCAACAAATTATAGTGGTGTTAAAAAAAAAACTTCTTACTTCGCAAATAACCCTCCTGGGTTGAATTATCACAGTTCTCCAAATATGTCTGTAACCGATTAAATCTCTCATTCCAGTATTCTATGCTTGAATGTTTCACCTCCTCTTGAATGCGAGTGCTGGAAGCAACTGGTGGCTCAGTTTTCTCCGGCACAATTTCCGCATTTGGTTTTTCAGGAGATTTGGAAGATACTAGTTCTACAGATTCAGCAACAGGAGATGCCACTTGGGGCTTATTGGCCTCCTCATGCTGAACATCTTGGCATGCCTCCAGCTCTTTTGCTTTGTCTTTTCCATTACCTTTCAACTCCTGAGAAGGGTTCACTTTACTATGCTCAGATTCTACTTTCCTTCGTACATAAACATTATGATACGCAGGACCTGAGGGAGTATCGGTCTGCAGCCGTTTGATGCCGATAGCCTTTCCAGGTTCTGCGGTAGGTCCTTTATCTTTTGGCAGCAGAGAAGTTCCTTGAGACATATTTACAATGTTTTGCCTTTCTTTGGCAACTCAGCTGTTGCTGTTTTCTTCGCCAATAATGCTACTTGCTTGACACTAGATGGCCTGGCTCCTCTAGTATATTAATACACACATTTATTAATCATAATGAAACCTGCAATGCACAAGATGATCACCATCATTAAGACTGACAGGGGCCTCCAAAAATATTGGTGAATTGAGATAATGAAAAAAGAGGTAGTACAAGGAGCCATACTACTTATAAATGGAATAAGGTTCTTACACACATCTTTTTGTGTAATATTTTCTTAGCAATGCATTTAGTTGAACACTTTCAAAGCGAAGATGAAAAACAGAACAATTCAAGACCTCCTCCACTGCACCTGCCTTTGAAACAGTCTCTGACTCTGTTTCCTACTATGCTATTCTAATCAAAATTTACAAATTCCAAACAAAAGAAATGCAAAGAATCATATGTTAAAATACCATTTTTTTTTAGTGAGCAACCAGGGAACAAAAGAACACAAAATTATCCAGAAATAATCTAGTTAACATGTTCCTTTTTATCTTTGATCATATAGCTTGTTTTTAGTTTGATAGAAAGAGACCAAATAAACTACTAATCCGGCAGTTTTAGCATAAAAATATGGAGAATAAAGCTTCAATTAAGCAAAAACAAACCAGCTCGAACAAGTAAATGATACGAAATGAATAGCCATCTTTGTCATTTTAAAGCAGTTAACTGTGAAAGATTCGTAACAGCCATTAAGCCAAAATGAGTGGTAAAAAATTTGGGGTCCTTTCATGATTACCCTTATTACAGGTTACAACAACTCTAATCCAAGTAGCCTCCCTTCCCATGGACATTGTTTGCTTATATAAGGACAAGAAACATGGCAAAGTATTTTTTTTTTCATATCTTCTTGAAACTTGAATGCATCAAGCATAAATGAATTTGCTTCTCTGTAAATTGCAAAGCAATCAGCGGGGTACTCCTATCTGTGTTTTCTTTATTCAAACCATTCAGGTCTCATTTCATATCCACACAAAACAGCTGCTACCTAAATGTGTATGCTGCATTGAGAACACGAATCAGATACAAAGTAAAACACAAGAACCAAAATATACTCTGATGATTGAAAAGTGAAATCAAAATTGACATGGTGCACAAAGTGGTCTAACAGCTGGCCAGGCACATTTGCTTTTATCACGCTGGGTCCATAAATTGTGTGAAAAATAGCAAGCTTTTAGTGATTATTACCTCCATTCTTTAATGTTTGGCATTGGTTAGTACTTAGTTCAGTTCTGAACTAACCAGCGCCATATATTAAAGAATTGAGGGAGCACATGCTTAAAACTGAGCCCATTCACCCACCATGTAACTAACCTAATTCTCTTTTCTAACACTGAGTGCATGCCATAGAATGCATTCCATGATTTGAGGAAACATTTGTTCAAACAATGTAATAGAAAGCTCAAAAATCTATGTTAAGCTCTTACCAACCAACCATGTGCTTCTACTCTAGGAATAACTAACGATTCTGCGGTAAAGACTCTAGTAGAATTCAACTGATTTCTTTCAACCGGCATCTCAAGCCAGCCTCCTGACCACAGAATTAGCAGTAAACGGCAAGATAAATAACGTAAGAGAGTTGATTGCTTCCCTGTTGTGAAACTAAAACTGTTCCAAAAATTGTGCTAAAATAGTAAAAAAACTCTAAGTGATAGCATACCTAAAGCTGAGGCCATCTAGACATAATGTAACTAATTTGATTGCCTTTTCTTAAACCAGAGAAGAGCGCACACATTAAAACTCAGTCCATGATTGCAGGACACAGTCATGCAAACAATGTAAAAGTTTGAATAAATGCAAATATTCGCATGGAATGGCATTACAGGAGATAACGAATTCCCAAAAGCTGAAAAATCACTGTTGAGATTTCACCCATTTCTATTGACTAGTAATGACTAATGGCGTCGCAGTTAAGAACCTAGCAGGCAGAAAAGTGAAGTTAAAGTGATTTCATAAAGATGGCATCACAGGCCAGCATCATTTAAACTAGCAATACACAGATGGTGCTTATTTTAGAGCCTCCTGACCACAGCACCAGCAGCAAATGGTAAGATAAACAAGACAAGAGTAAACATTTCTTTTTATTGCTTCCCAATTCTGAACCTAACTATCACGCCCGAGGGGGGTTAGAGTTAGAGACAGTCCGTCACCAAATCCGAATGCAGCAAGTTCGTTGCATTCAATTCAACAAAAGGGCTATGAACCTACAAATCTACACAATATTTCAGTCTCCATTCATACCCATAGCAACACAGAAATCGCTAACAGAGGACTTAGGTCATGGCTGCGCTACACGGATGGCGGGTGCTAGAGGACTCACCGGAGATCCACGGAGACGGGGACTAGAGGCGCGCCGCGGCGGTCGATTTGGTCGATGGAGGGAGGGAGCGTCCGCGGGCCGCGGCGGGTCAGGCTACTCGTGCCCGTCCGTTGGATGGCAGGCGGGGGGAATGGGGATACCCGTCAGCGGGGGTGGGTTCCAGATGGTGGTGCCCACTGCCCACCGAGGGAGGCGGCGGCGTGGCTAATCGGCGGCGAAGCGGAGGAGGCGAGGGAAGTCGGAAGCAGGGGAGGATTGGGGAGGGGGGAGGGGCAGCCGGAGACGAGAGAGAGAGAATCCAACGGAACTGTTTGTGTGCCTCTGCTATGTGGCCGCCGTGAGAGAGCCCGTGGGGTGCATCAGCAACAACGGTCGGGGGTCGTGGGTCGGCCGCTAGCCCACTACTACTAGTACTGGAAGCATTCCGCCAATTTTTTTCCTAACTGGCTCAACCATTTCACGCCTCGCGACCTTTGGTCGTAGGACAAGCTGAGATAGGATGCTCTCTATTTCTTACGAAATCGTCTTATCTCTATATTTAGTTATTATATTAGGACGATAGGTCCATTTCTGTTTTTAGAATAGAAATAGATATCGTTTTAGTATCATGATCCGCATTTGTCAATGGATCTCACGTGTCTCTCATGAGCCCACTCGTCATGGTCTCGATCTTCTTCTTCCTCTGACACAGACACACGACTACCTCCGCCCTAGGCTGCCTTCTCAAGGTTGAACACGTGGCGTCCATGGCCGAGATCCAGTGGCATGCCTCTAGTCCCTCTTCCTCGCTGTGCTCCACGTCGCTGGCACCGAGCCCTGGTACCATACCGCACCACCCATGGCCACGTCGCCGAAGCCGAAGCCCACATCTAGAAGCACCACGTGCCAAAACGGACTTCCATGGCATCAATCGGGGTGAGCTGGACTTGAAGGGAAGAGTGTAACAGAACCGACCAATTATACGAAATTAAGTAAGAAAATCATTCGCCAGAGCAGACGATTTAGCAAACTTAAGCCCGTATAACCCGGTAGTCCGTGAAATCACGAAGGATTTCAAACCAACTCACATACCAGCCAAGATCGTAACAAGTTTAGCGGTCACCATCACATATTACATAAAAGTTCGCATCACAGATACATCAGAGTTTAAACATAGTTATTACAAAACGAGTTCAAATAGAAGTAGCGGAAGCCATTTGTTCAAAACCACACACACTCACACGGAGTTCAAATACAGTGCCAGCTAATGATCATCTCCAACAAAAGCATTAGACGAGACGTAAGGAATGACCATGCCCATGGTCCTAAGCATCACCCATCGCAGGATAAAGGCAGTTGATACAGTAGCCGTAATACATCTGCCCATCTGCAATAAGTGGGAATAAAACCCTGAGTACGAGAAGGTACTCAGCTAGACTTACCCAACATAACCGAAAATAAAGTGACACCAAGGATTATGAAGGGCTTTATAGTAGGGTAGCTAACTCATTTGCAAAAAGAGGCATTTTTAGTATTTCAAGAACGTTTCCAAAAGTATTATTGTCAAGTTAATTATTATTAACCTGTCGACTACATTTGCACCTATACTAGAGCAAGCATGTGATTAAGCAAATAATGATAACCAATGATCATTAACAACTTCCATAATGTCATATTCATTATAACTGTCCAAGTGTTCCATCAACATTACTACGATGAAGTCACTCAAGTCAAGTGCTCACTATCCAGGAGCGATGGTGATTCGAATCGATTCCTAACCAGCTGGTGATTTATTCCTTATATAAACCTCACTCACCCGCTAAAGTGAGGTATCGGTCACCGAGTCAACTATCCAGAAAAATCTCGAGTTTGCCAGGAACCACATGTACCCGGGGGCCGACCGACTGCCCTTTGGTCTTATCATCGCGCCCCCGTGTCCTACCACACCTGCTCCGGTACAATGCGCTGCGGGCAATCTACTCGGTCCGAATAATCTCCCAGCTTTACGGTCGAAAGGTACTTTATTCGGCCAGCTAAATGTAAGGCATGCGTTCAACATGACCTGAGGCCCAACAACGGTCGGTCCTTAATCGACACAGACGAAAAGCACTATAGTCTAAAACTCTGTAAGTCTCCGTCCGGTCTCAACTTTAAATTAACGCTTAGTTATACCCTGACTACATAGTTATCCAAGCAGATCTAGGTAACCACCTATAGCTCGCAGGTGACAGAAAATCACCCGACTTCTACCGGTCTAAGCCAGCTAAGCATTGACTCGACTGCGGATACCAGGGTAACAAGGATATAGTATAACAATGGCAGACAAGTTATAATGCAGCAACGGTTGCAAACAACTCCTGAACGTAATGCATCAATTAAAGTAAAGCATTTAATTAATAATTGCAAACCGGAGAGAAAAATGCTCCGGGACTTGCCTCTCTCGAAGGAGCTCGGGCGGTGATCGGGGCACTCTAGAAGTTCCTCAACGTCCTCCTCGTCTGCTTCGGTCACTTCTAGCGGCTGCACTTCGAGCTGCTCCTCGGGCTCCTCGGGTATGACGACTAGGCTCTCGGTTTACGATCCTGTATGATGCAAGTGTGTAAGTGCTTATGCAAAAGGTGCATCGGATGAAATGAACACAATGAATAT